TGTGGATAAGGTTGATATCCTTTAAACTGTTTATCAAAGCTCACAGTTTGAGCTTCAGTCTCTTTCTTCTCTAACACTTTCTTGGTTTTTCATCCTTTCAACTTATCATTTTTAATGGCATTTTAAATGATTTCGCCTGAGATCACCATGTTAGTAAAATTTTTATGGCATTCCCTATTATCTTTTTATAATAAAGAGATTTCAAGGTGCTAACAAACAACACTGTGGTCTCTTTCTTAGTCAAAGGAGGCTACACTTGAAAAACAATATCCTTCCATCTTTAGGCATACTCTTTAAATAATTCAGTCATTTTTTTCTATATTCTGTAAAAAAAGATAATCTAAGGCTAAGTCTATGATATACCAATACTAACTAATAAAATCATGGGTCATATCACTCCAAGAATGAATACGGGTCCTGTCTAACTGGACATACCACCAAGCAGTAAAGCTCATAAGACTATCTTGAAACACATGCACTAATAGTTTTTCATTATTAGCATAGGCTACCATCTTTCTACAATATATGGTAATGTAGGTCTTCGGACACTTTGTATCATCATACTTCTCAAACTCTGGTACCTTAAACTTCGAAGGAATAACCATATCTGAGACTAAACAAAGTCCAGCACCATTCATAAAACCATAAAAATCAATTTCTTCCACTGCTCGTAGCCTTTCTTCCAGCATATTAATCTTTCAGTCAGCTTTCGAGTCCCTCAATGACTCACCCTTTTTTATTTTAACTTTTCGTTATTCTTTAGATCATCCAAATTAGAGACCTAAACTGATGACATTCCAAGGCATATGTATCCTATAGGATAAATAAATTACTATGGTAGTGGACCTTGTGCTGGTTGGGCTTGATATGGCCCAAAACCAAGATGATACAATAGGTCATCCACCTCTTATGAGAGATGGTCTTATTGGCTAGTACTTTTTTTATACTTTTTCCCTTGTTTAACTTGTTAAAAGCCTTCAAAATCCTATTTAACTCTTCTTCTAACTTTTCTTGAGCTTTCTCTATCCTCTCAAGATGATTAGAATTTTCTTGTTTCATCTATCTAGCTCGAGCTCTTGTATTGTATGAGTAAATGAGGTTCTTGCTTAGTGGAGCTATCCTTGAACCTTGAGCACCATAATTATGATAAAAAAATGTTATGCTTTATGCATGATATATTGATACATGAATGAAATATACATTTTTATGGATGAGATAAAAATAATATAGATGCAGAATGTCACATATGACAATGAAAATGATGCATAATGATGCATGATATGGTAATGCAAATGCTAATTGAAATAATGTAAAAGCACAAAGTCAAACACACAAGATAGTTAGATATATCACATAAATTGTTCCCTATTATGTCCTAATTTCGAGTTAAGTCTATCAATAGGTAAGAAGGGCTCTATCCTAAGGCTGGCATCTTAAGTGTACACTATATGCTGGGTTTGGTGACTTTGACCACTAAAGGTTCTCAAATTGTTCCTTACATCATAGTCCATCATAGACTAGTAAGACAATCTAATCATCGCCCATCACAGGCTACCAACGAAAAGTATTCAATTTGAGTGGGAGTATTTCACAGCCATTACGAAAATTATCATCTCATGAAAGTGTAGGTATTTTATTCCATCTTAAAAGAGACAGAGCCTAGGTATAAAACTCATATAATGTATGTGATAATGTGTGTGAAGGAACATATGGGTTTCATGCCTCAAAAATAAAAGAAAAAAAAAGACACAAAAATGTTAGTAAACAAATAACACAAATCATTACAATTTAAAATCATTAGACCAAAGGATAAGATAAATTCAAAATTATGGCTTGACTTTCTAGAGCATCCCTAGTGGAGTCGCCAAACTATCATAACATATAGATTGGAAAATCTATAGCTAGACTTAACAAATGGAGTCGCCACCAATCTTTTTTATCTAGGTGTGATTGGCTACCTAAGAAATATATCCTTTTAAGGAGCTCCTAAGCTTGATTAAGGGTCCCTAAAAAAATAGCTTCGGGTCTACTAACCAAAATAGAGTTCGAGAATTCGATTACATGTGAAAAATGTTATAGCACCCTCACATGCCCATCCGAAGGATGGTACCATATTATTTCAAATTTATCATAAGGTCTTGAGTCTAATGGTTTCAAATTTTATGTTAAATATTGAAAATACTTTTTAAGATTTTTCATCAATCTGGTAAACTTTTAAAAAAATACTTCCTCACCTCAAGAATATTCAAGAATCTCATTTGATTCCTTAAAGAAGCTCCGTCATCGAAAAAAATTTATTTATTATTCTTTTTTTTGTTGAAAATATATCTAATTATTTCAACATTTAGGCCAAATTAAAAATATTTTTTTTAATTTCTAAATTTTTCACCATTTATGCCTATTTAGAAATTCTCTCTTTTTTAGTTGGATTTCTAAATTTTCCACCATTTTGGTCAATTTAGAAATATTTTCTCCTTTTCGAAATTTCTAAATTTTTCACCATTTAGGCCTATTTAGAAATTCTCTCTTTTTTTTGTTTGATTTCTAAATTTTTCACCATTTGGTTCAATTTAGAAATATTTTCTCTTTATTTATTTTTTTGTCTTCGAAAGGAAAATAATATGATAATTATTTTTTATTGAAATTTCATTTAAATTCTTCCACCATTTGGGACAAATTTAAAGAAATTTCTCACCAAGAGATTTCTTAAGAATTTATCATTTGAAATTTTTAAGAATTTCATCATTGGGTAATTATCAAATATTTTCAACCAAATTTTTTTTTTTTTGGCTTTTTTGGATTGAAAATAAATATTATTTATTGTTATTAAAACTTTATCTAAATTATTCCACCATTTGGAATAAATTTAGACAAAATTTCTCACTTAGGAATTTTATAAAAATTTACCATTTGAAATTTCTATAAATTCCATCATTGGATAATTAATATTTATTCCCAAAATTTTTATTATTTTTTACTTTTTTTAAATTTTTTCCTAAATTTAATCATGGAAAAAAATGCTAAAAAAATCTAAGAAAAATACTAAGGAAAATACTAAATAAAATAAATAAAAAATACTAAAGAAAAACCAAAAAATGGCTCGGTTGGCGGTTGAAATTCAGCTCGGCTTAAGACATAGATAACGGCTCGAAGATGCAACTCAAGATGAAATCGGCTCAACTCGGTTCAGCTCAGAAATAGGGTCTATGGAGCGAGTTAAAGTGGGTTAACGCTATGGGTCGAGTCACCCGAATGTAAAACACATGGATCCTAGGTCTTTTTAAACGCCAAAACGACGTCATTTTGGTGATGCTATAAAGGTCAAGTTTCAGCCTTTCTCCTCAAATTTCTTCTTTCCCTTCTCTCTCTTTCCCCTTCTTTTCTCTCTATCTTTCTCTACCCAGATGAACTACGGTTGAATCCTTGACTGGATTCTGGAAAACGTCACTAGAATCTGGATTGGGTCACCGAACAGTCACAAAAAAATTTAATCGATGCCAGAATCTTCTACCAGATTCTGGGAAGCTCACTGAAAAAGTCAACCAATACCAAAAAACGCACAGAAAAATTCAGCCAGCACCAAAAAATTCATCAAAAACTAGAATTTTTTCAAAAATTTTCCAAAAATCTGGATTTTTTAGATTTCTTCCAAAAAACCCCCTTTGTTTTCTAAACCTAAAAATCTTCAAAAAAAATTTTACAACATTTTGCTTGCTGTGTTTTCTAACTTCTGCTCTCTTATTTTTTATGTTTTTTTTTTTTCTTTGGCCTATGATCAGTGGGTATTTATAGAGTTTAATTAGAAAATTTTCTGACTAACTCTATAACTCCCACTTTGACAATAATTCAGCCTTATCCCATATAAATCTAATTCAACCATGATTCTGCCACTAGTCCAATTCACAGTAAAACTTTCTCTTTTTATCACCTAAAAAAAACTAATAATAAATCTAACAAAATAAGAATAAAAAATAGATAAATCAATAAAAAAATGAAGATTAAGAATCATCCCAATAAAACTAATAAAATAATAAAATAAATAAAAAGTAAAAAAATGACCTATTATGCCTAATAACCTGGGCCCTATTGAGCTGGGGCCAATGGGCTTGGGCCCGGACCAAATAGGATGTCTACAAATACCCAATGATTGGATTTTGGGTTCATTGTGTTCTTGAAAAAGTTTAAAGTTTTTGGCACTCATTTGAATTTCACGATGCCCTAAATTAGGTTTTTGGCCATTTTTTGGAATTGGGTTTGATTTTCCTAGTGCACTTAGAGAGAGGTTAAAGGAAATTATTCGAGAAAGAGAATGAACCAAAGGTTTCTGAACAAAAAATAAAAATTCTTGATTTATATAACAAAGCTCAAATGACGTCATTTTGGTGAAGTGTTTGACTTGTTTGACCTACGTGCAAGACTCGACTCGATCACGGGTATTTTCTTTTCTTTTTTCGTTATATTTTTTATTTTGATTTTATTTTTATTTCATTTTGTCTATTTTATTTTCATTTTATTTTATATTTTTATATTTTTTTATCTTTAACTATTTATTTTACTCATTATTATAAATTAAACAATGCATTATTATTATTATTATTATTAAATACCTTTATGAATTTCATTTTATTTATTTATTTATAAAACAAAGTGCCCAAAAAATGTTTCCAAACTAAATTTGTAAATCCTACTAAACTATTGGAGGATTTTTTATGAATTTAATTTTTTATGAATTCTACCAAACTATTGGAGAATTTCATAAATCGATTTTTATAAAATTATTATTAATAAAATATTTTATTTTGATCACACCAAACTATTGGAGGATTTACATCTCAAATTAAATCTTACCAAACTATTGAAAAATTTAATGCATATTCTAAAAAATAAATTTACAAAGAAATCTCATTAAACTATTAAAATATCAGCATCAAAGTAAATATTACCAAACTATTGGAAGATTTTTTTGATTATTTTTTGAATAAAATATATTAATAAATCTGATGACGGAGCCTTTTCAGAGTAGAATACTAGTTTTCATGAATACTCTTGAGGTAAGAGAATTATTTTAATTTGCTATCAAACTATTAGAGTAATTTTAAGATCAATTTTCAATATTAAATATTTTGGTAAATCATAAATATGGTTAAGGCTTGGATAATTTAAAATCAAAATAGTACTATCCTTTGGATGGGTGTTGTGAGGGTACTATAATATTTTTCACGCGTAATCGCACTCCTGAACCTAAAATTTGATTTCGTAGACTAGAATATACTATTTAAATATACCTAGGTCAATCTTAGGATTCCTCTTTAAATGAGAGAAATTATGTTAGATGACCAATCACATTTTAACAAAATAAGATTGATGGCAACTCCTAAGTTTATATTTAGCAATAGATCTATGAATCTATACATTATAATAGTATATATAATCTATATACTGATAATGCATAAAAAATAAACTCATAAATTAAACTTTTTTTTAAAGTAGTTAAGCATGCTAAGTTTGGTTCATGTTAGATTGTTTCAAATTTAGGGCACTCCAGGTTGATTAATTTTTTGGTCAATATGGTTTAATTCAAGAATTTTTAGGTTTGATGCAATGTATCTGTTATCTAGTTGGATTGAATTTGGATTGTTGATTTTTTAAATCAATTTAAATTATTAGATTAGGTGAGTTAGGTCAATTTTTGAAATATTGATAAATTAATTTGTGCTTCATTTTACTTTGCAAGCGAATGATAATCAATTTCAAGTTTAGACAAAATCATTTCATGTTCATGTGATGATTTTTTCACGATTTCGGATTGAGTTGATTGATTAATATTTCAAGCATATCAACCAAAGCAACACAAGTTTTGTGACAATTTTTATTTTCAACTCTAAAACTTTTGACATTTCTCTAATAACAATGAATTAAAAATGTACTATATAAAAAATAATAGATAAAATTTTCATATTCAAAATATGTCTTTAAATAAAAGAATTTTTCAAAGGATTTAAGTATCAAAAATAAATCATAAAATGGTTTTCACCTAACATCAATTATATACGCTACAATGAAAATTCTATTGTAAAAATTTAACTTTTCCATACATAGAAAATATATTATATATAGCAACCAGTTTTTTTATAATTCTACTTATGGAAAATAAAATTGATTCCAACTGGCTGATAACATATTTAAAATATAAATATATAAAAAATATATTAGTTCACATATAATTTAGAAGAAAGGCCAAAAAAATTTAATTCACTTCCATACTAGTAAAAATTTTCACAACTGTACTCTAAATTAAGAGAAAATGTTAAATGTATACCTATTATAGCTAATATGTCTTATTTTGGTTTTTTTTTGTTAGTAGTTTATACTCATATGTTAACGGTGATATTTTCTATAAAACCGGTGAATCATTTTGAGAGAATCATTAAGAAAAAACTTTTGAAGTTTCTCCATCATTTCACAAAGTGAAACACTTTGCAAGATATAATTGCATGCAGTGTAATATTATTGCCTCATTTTGCCTTTCACTGATCGAGTAGCTACACAATTTTGGCTTACAAGTGATAATTTTTTCAAATCCTAAATCATTGTTTCTCGTTAAGGTAAAACACCTTCGAAATGTTTGAATGTATCCAATTTTATCATTTTTGTCAAATTTCATTGACATTCATTTTGCATTACTTTTGTTTTTGATGAATTTTAATTGTATATTAAGGTGTTCGAAGAAGTTGCAGATCATTTATCTTAATCAACAATCACTGATATCGGAAGAGAATCACATGCATATCAAAACTAAATCGCAAAGTTTTATTCAAATAAAAAAAAAGGTATACTTAGCCTTTTGCTTTTGTAATTAAAATAAAATTTATTATTACTTATGTTTAACTCACTATGTTGAAGGATTTATGGTTTTTGTGAGTAAAGTTTTTAAATGTATTAGCAAATTGAATAGATCTAGCAATGGTTGGTGTTCCAAGAATAAAAAACAAAAAAAAAAGGAAAAAGAGTGCTTATATTTATTTGATTATGCTTTTAGAACAGTTATTAATTACTAAATACTTATTGTGTTCTATAGACCTTTTTGTATGTTTTGCTATTTCTAATATTGAACTTCCTTACATTATTTTGAACATGGACAGTTTTTCATTGGTTCTCTCTCTAATAAAACTTCAATATATATATATATATATATATGAATAAGAATTTATTTGTATTAGTGTAAGAGTTACCATTTTTTTAATTCTTAGATCAAACTTACATATATATATATATATGAGTAAGAAATTATTTGTATTAGCTTAAGAGTTACATTTTTTTTTTTACTTTTAGATCAAAATTAAATCTATGACTCAATTCAATCAAAAATTTATTTTTGAATTAAGTAATTTGGATCCAATGGTTAAGAAAATGTGTAAAAGTTATAATAGTACAAGTGAATTCCTACTATATATATATATATATATATATATATATATATATAGAGGAAGGCTTAACTTACGGAAAAAAATTTATACTTTTTTTATTCATTGATTTTAATAAATTTAAAGGATGAGATTAAAATAATTTTTATTTCACATATCTCTTTTATCTTTTAGATTTATTAAAATCAGTGATTAAAAAAGTATAATTTTTTTTTAATTTTACATTTATGTAAATTAATCTCTTCCCATATATATATATTTGATAATTTCTCTCTCTCTCTCTCTCTCTATATATATATATATATATAAATATAATTCTAACAACCTCATAAAATATCCGGGTTTTATAGGTGTTTGTCTTTACCGGATTTAAAACTGCCAAATCAATAACTTATGTCACAATTGTACCCAAAAAAAATGATGACATGAAATAATATTCTTTTACATAAGTTCAGTCATTTAGATGGATTTGGTAGGTTTCTTTTTTGGAAATAAAACGTGAAAATTTATGTAAAATAAATTTTTTTTTTAAAAACAAGGTTTTGCTAGTTCTTTTGTTACCAAATATGATCAATGAAGATAACAAAAATTTAAGTACTTGTCCTCGTTTCAAAATCTACAAACATAGGATCAAAAAACATATATATATATATATATATATTTATTTATTTATATGATTAAGAAAACTATAAGTTTGGAATGGAAACAAATGAAGCATTACAAAATCGGACAAACTTGAATTTGATACATTATTTGCATGCAATTAACCAGGTTTTTGTTCTCATATATATATATATATATATATATTTATGGTTGTTGTTTTCAGTCCAGTTTTCTTCATTTCAGATACAGATGAAACAAGTTAATTTGAGGTTTCGGAAGATCATGACTTATAATTTGAGGGATAGGAACTTAATGAATATCAAGGCTACTTATTTGGGATCAAGTGGTTCGGATAATGACAGCCACGATGAAGCCACTGATTCTGACCCTGACTTTGGGAGGCCACCGCCTATGCCTAATCCAAACCAGAACAATGTTAGACTATTTGAAGCAATGCAGAGGAGTGTTGGTATCCAAATAGCAAATTCTTGGGGTGCAAATTCTAGCAGGAATACAACTGGGATCGTGGAGAGAAGGCGGCCAGGGCGCCCCACAAAGGCAAGGGCTAATGGGGAAGAAAATAGACAGGGCATCATAGAGAGACATAGAAGGAGGAGAAGGAGGAAAAGAACGAATTTTTCACAATTTCTTGAAGAAATAATAACCAAGAAAACAGTGTTGTCTTGGTTGATAAGATTGGGTATAGTTGAAGAAAATGAAGTCGTCCGGTACGTTCAGTCAGAGTCTCGAAATAAAATGGGAGAAGGCAAAGTCAATAAGGAGGGCATTTTATGTAGCTGTTGTTCTCGTCAGATTACAGTAGGAGAGTTTGAAATTCATTCCGGATTTAAAACTGGAAAGCCCTATAAGCATATAGTTTTAGCAGTGTCACAGCTTTCCTTATTTGACTGCCAAATAGAAGCATTGGAAGGTAGGAACGAAGAAGAAAAATGTACATACAACAACATGCAGCCTGAAGCAACAGCTGTTGACAAAAATGATGATGCTTGTATGATTTGTGCTGATGGAGGGGATTTGATTTGCTGTGAAAGATGCCCCTCAACATTTCATCCCAAATGCATTTTCATGGAGGTAATAATTATGACCACAATTTGCTCTATATATACTTTAGCATTTCTTTAACGTTTGTAATTAATTGATCTATATTTTTGGGGATGGGGCTGCAGAACATTCCTCAAGGTGATTGGCTGTGTCCATATTGTGTCTGCAAATACTGTGCCAGTGGGGATGGCCTTTTAAAGAAGTGTGTTCAATGTGAAAAACTGTGTATGTATTACTTAATATTGTTTAAGTTACACAACTGATCTATAACTATTTCTGCTTCATAACTTGAAACCAATTTACAGACCATAGCAAGTGTGGAGGAGAAAATTTGGACCTGATGAATTCTCCTGCCTCATTGTTCTGTGGAAGCAGTTGCACAAAGGTATTTATCCTCAATTTGAAAGCTATCCATTTTCCCCCATGATTTTTGTCTGAATTATACCATCATTTTTAGAGGTGATGATATTGGAAAAAAACAACTGACTTGAAGTTTGCAAAAGATATATGAAGGGTTACGGGATATGCTTGGAGTTAAAAATAATCTTCAAGATGGCCTTTCATGGACTCTACTCCAACGGACAGAGCAACCATTCGGTTCCTACAAGTACAACAAAGTACAAATCAACTCCAAGGTTGCTTTGGCTTGGCTGGTAATGAACGAATGTTTCTTGTCAACCATAGATCGCCATACAAGAGCCAATATTATCCAAAGTATTGTCTACAATCGAGGGTAATCAGTTCGAAACCTTTTCTGAAACTCCTTCAAAAAGTTCTTAAATCATGGCAATACATTACTGCTGACTACCAAGTACCAACATAATTTCTGTCATTCTCAGGTCCAATTTGACCCGTATTAATTATAGTGGCTTTTACACTGCTGTCCTGGAAAAGAATGACGAAATCATCTGTGTTGCATCAATAAGGTGTTTTTCTTGATTCTCATTCAGAGAAATCTATATAGATATGTCTAATTCTAGTAGCATGTGCAATTGCTTTTAACATGGCGTTCCATTTATCTGTTGGTTTCCAGGGTGCATGGAAAAAGGCTGGCTGAGATGCCCTTCATCGGAACCCGTGGGGTATACAGGCGTCAAGGGATGGCTCGCATCCTATTAAATTGTGTTGAATCTGTAAGCATAGATATTTAACTAAATTGAACGATTTCATCACATCACTGCTTGAGTCTAATATGCTAATCAATTGAAATGCTGCTGATAATATACTTGATATTCAGGCTCTTCGTGATCTAGAAGTTGAGAAACTGGTGATTCCATCAGTCGATCAACTTGTTGATATGTGGATTGGGAAGTATTTCTTCGCCCGCATTGAGGAGGTGCGGTTGAAGAAGGAGCTGTGCCAGTACAATACGGTGATGTTCCCTAGTGCAGTAGTAAAACTACATAAAAACTTGGCGATGCTTCCTGACTTGAACATTGGTCCTTCAGCAACCAATGGGGTTTTCTAAATCAGAACCGCAATGCTTGTTTCAACACAGAGTTTCTAGGAGGAAGAGGATTATCTTGCTTGTTGACAACTTGGAAAATAATCTGTTAAGGTTGAAAATCTCAGTCATGTTATGCACAGGATTTTTTGGTTTGAAATTGTAGACTTTTCCCCCTTTATTTCTTTATGGCTTTCTGTCATGTTTTATGAATAGATCGGATTGTTTGATTATTTTTTTCTCACTTTCTCGGAATTTAATCATGTCTGGTTTTCTTTAGTCAAATTTTTTTTATATAAAAAGGCTTATAAAAAAATTCAAGTTAAACCAAGAAAATATTAGAGAAAGATACAGACAGAAAAGACAAAATCTTGCAAGTTGGAAAATAATTCCAAGTTAATATATGGAAATAATTCAGTGTTTAATGAAAAAATCAATGGAGGATTAATAGTTACTAATTTAAATGGGCACCCATCAAATCTGCCAAGAGAAGGAAAATGGCTAATAGAAAGAATGAATAAGCATGCGACAAGTAAACGTTGACGGTGAAGGAGCAAACATATAGTTGGTAACTTAATCAGAGCAAGATCAATATAATAAAGCTAAGATTAGTAGGAATAAGCAATATAGCTAATGATCAAATAAATTAAAATTTGAGAGAACAATAAAAATTAAGTTGAGATATGACTGAACAGTAATGTAATAATAAGAAATTAAGGAGAGATATAATTGTACAGGAAGTGAAACATGGTTATACTTAGTGCTTGTAGCAGTGATTACCACTTCTTAAATAACAAATACTTATTAAAAAAAAAAAAACAATGAGACTGAAATCAATTGACACTTCTTTATCTCAAAAAAAGTGAAGCTAGGACCAGTACGAATAACGTATTTGTTGTCACAACAAATGAGAAATAAGCATTTAGCTACCTTAAGAAAGAATATTTGAGAACTGGTTCCAGCCGAAAAAAAAGAAAATTGTAATAGAAAAAATGGAAAAAGGAATGAATGGGACACAACATGGGGTTCCCTTCCACGTTGACATAGGTAACACCTTTCATCTACCTCCACTATTCAATTTCTTAATTTATCTTTTGTTGGAAGCCTATTTAATATAGTCATTCATACAATCATTAAGTGTTTTAAGATATGATACTAAAAATATATTAGTTTATGCTACTCAACCTTCCTTTGCTTAGATCTTATCTTATTCCAAACTATTGCAACAGAATAGCCATTGCCAAAGACATATCACACTTCAACACCATTTTCCTCTCTAATGAATTGGAGTGCAGTAGATCTAAGTTTAAGTAGTTTCCTCCAACTGTTGCCCTATTGCAATGCAACTTGCCATAAAAGTTTATATTTGATACACTTTTAATATATAAATTTTATACACTATTAGTACATTAAATGGAGCCATCTTATTAATAATCAAATATAAATTTTTACTAATCCTTAAGATAAATACACAAAACTTAATTTTTAAAAAAAATTAATGATGTGGCATCATATGATTTACTGACAATGTATATAACTTATACACTAACAATGCATCAAATATAAACACATAGATTAAACTTTTTTAAAGTGATAAGTATGTTGACTCATATTCATGTTGGATTGTTTCAAATTTAAGGCATTCCAGGTTGACAAATTTTTGGGTCAACATAAAGTTAATTCAAGGCATTTTACTAATTTTAGGTTTCATGCAATATATCTGCTATCTAAGTTGATTGAATTCGTGTTGTTGATTTTTTAAATCAATTTAAAATATTGAATTAGGTGAGTTAGGTGAATTTTCGAAATGTTGATAAATTAATTTGTGCTTCATTTTACTTTGCAAAAGAATGATAATCAAGTTCAGGTTTAGATCAATTCATTTCATGTTCTTGAAATGAATTTTTTCATGACTTTGGACCAAGTTGATTGATTAATATTTCAAGCATATCAACCAAAGCAACACAAGTTTTGTGACATATAATTTTTATTTTCAACCCTAAATTTTTTGACAATTCTCTAATAACAATGAATTAAAAATGTACTACATAAAACATAATAGATAAAAAAAATTTTCAGATTTAAAACATGTTTTTACATAAAAGAATTTTTCAAAGGGTTTAAGTGTCAAAAATAAATCATAAAATGGTTTTCACCAGATTCCAATTATATTGCTATAATGAAAATTCTATTGTAAAAATTTAATTTTTGCATACATAGAAAATATATTATATATAGCAATATATATGGAAAATAAAATTGATTCCAGCTAGCTGATAACATATTTAAAATATTAGTTCACACATAATTTTGAAGAAAGGCCAAAAAATTTTAATTCACTTCATACTTGTAAAAGTTTCCATGGTTTCCCTTTTTTTCCTTTGTTTCTTTTCCAATGTAAAATTTGCATCGTTAGAGAATGGTGAGATTTATCAAAGGAGTCTCTAACCCTCAGCTCATCGAGATTGCAGTTGTCAATGAAATGGTTATGGTGAAGGTTGGCTCTTGTACCACGCCAGAATGACGTCGTTTTGAAAAGCCTTGACTTGTGTATCTACTCAACGATCAACGTGTTGATCCGTGTGTTAACCCAATCCAATTGCAAGTTTTTTTTTTTATTTTTTTTTATTTTTTGATTTCATTTCATTTTATTTTATTATTTTAAGTTTTTATTTCTATTTTATTTCCATTTTTTAATAATTTATTGATCTTTATTATTCATTTATTTTAATGAGTGACTTATTTAGTTTGCAAAAATTCTCACTTATCTCTAGAAGACAAAAAAAATTTAAAATAAATTCATGAATTCTACCAAATTATTGAAAGATTTTCATGGTTTGATTTCTTAAAATGAAATCCAACAAACTATTGAAAAATTTCATAAATCATTTTTTTAAAAAAAAGTTAAAATAAAAGTAAAAACAAAAATAAAGATCATTTTTATTCTCCAAACAATTAGATGGTTGATTTTTAAATTAAGTCTTACCAAACTATTGGGAGACTTAATAAAATTTTTAAAAATTTTTGTAGAACTTTTTGCAATAAAATCTCACCAAAGTATTTGGAGATCTGCTTCAAAGTAAGTCCTACTAAACTATTAAAAAATTTTACTGATTTTTTTGAATAAAAAAAATTAATAAATCCAATTATGAAGCCTCTTCAAGGTAAAATACTAGTCCCTATGGATACTCTTGAGGTGAAAAAACTATCTTAAATTGCATCCAAACTATTGGGATAATTTTAAGACTAATTTTTTTGGTAAAAGCATAAATATTTTTTAAGGCTTGGATAATTTAGAATCGAACTAATACCATCTTTGGATGGGCGCTGTTGGGGTGCTATAATCTTTTCAGGCGTAATCATACTTTCAAACCTAAATCTAGTTTCGTGGATCAGATTTAATTAGGTGACCAATCATACCTAAATAAAAAAGATTGGCGACGACTTTTCGGATCCATATCTAACAGTAGGTCTATAGATTTATAAGTTATGACAACATGGTGCAAAAATTAAGTGCTACACAGTAGGAGTCACCTTTAGAATTCTAACATTTGGTGTGATCTTCTAATCTGTGTGTGTTTTGTGTTGAGCTTCCTTAATGTTTGGTATGATTCGATGGATCTGTGTACTTTATCTTGGGTTTGACAAGGACGTCAAGCTTTAATGAGGGAAGTTTATGACACTCCAATCCTATATCAGGAGATTTTAAGGATCTGCTATAATAAATAAGCATAAACTTAAATTCAAACTTATGAAACACCTTTTATAAGATAAACAGTGAGATCTTTGAATTAAAATAGATAATATCTTATAAGTTGAGTACAGGTCTCTATAAACATTACCCAAAAAGAGCAGCTGATTAAACCAAGTATACCCTATGGAGTTTAGAGAATGCCTTGCATGCCCATGAAACATGACCATCTGCTAGAACCTTGTCAAATGAATCAAGATATCTTTTATCACCAATCAAGACCATAAAGAACCTGTATTAATTGGTGTTACCTCAAGAACTAGAATCTTCTTATAACTTCTTAACATACCATAATTAGAATAGTGAAAGGGAAACAAACGTAAATGATAATCATGAATTCAAATGGCAAGAAGAAAAAGAAAGAAAGCTTGAAGCGTTAAGCACAAATTACCTTTGCTTTCTAACAAATGAGTTCCAAATATGTATAAGCTGCTTCTCATCTTTGCTAACATCCACAAAATCATCAAGCATCTGTCACATATTGGTTTTATGTTAGCCTTTCACTTCTCAAAAATAGAATAATCAAAACATCTTATCAAAAATACAATTCAAGCTAGAACCCTAACATGAGTAAGTTGGAGCCCAATCAAACATAATACACCCAACTCTAAACCAAAATTTCTCACATTTCTAGAAAACCTGACAAAAGTCAATCAAGTCAATGGTAGATAAACAAGCTCATGTTCTTATAATTACTCTGGTTTCTGTTGTTTTATACTTATATTTATAGAGATGAACAAAGTAATGCTCGTACAATACAAGCAAACAATGAGCAAACTACTACAAGTTGAGACAAATAAAGAGAACTAATTATCTAACCCCTACAAATCATTATTTATTTAATGACTTACTTTCCTCTGACAACTGATGATTTATAAACCCAATAAGTAAATGCTTGTTCACCAATTACCCTAGCTCCAACCAAATTAATTTTTTTATAAAAAAAATTAATGATGTGGCACTATCTTATTAACTGACAATGTATATAATTGTATAATGATAATACATCAAATATAAATTTATAAACTAAACTTTTTTAAAGCAATTAAGTATGTTGACTAATATTCATGTTGGATTGTTTCAAATTTAGGGCATTTTAGGTTGACTAATTTTTAAGTCAACGTAGAGTTAATTCGAGGTATTTTATTGATTTTAGGTTTGATGCAATATATCTATTATCTAAGTTGATTGAATTTGAGTTGTTTCTTTTTTAAATCAATTTAAAATATTGGAGTAGGTGAGTTAGATGAATTTTTGAAATGTTGATAAATTA